GAGATTTATGTACAAGAGCAATTGAACATTGAGAAAACATCCCAGCCCAGATCAAGTCCATAAGTCCAATACTAGCCCATAAGTCTGATACCAATCCACAAAATCCTCTTCAGACTCACGAAACACAGGTAATGATGTCGAATATAGAAGAGCACAGGTCAGTGGGTAGAAAGTCTTTGGATCCAGTGGCATTGGAAACATCTCAGCACTGGCAGGGGTGTCTGCATCAGGGTGGGTCCATGTGTCTTGTCAGCTGCTAAGTCTCCCAGGGTGAGCAGAGAGTCTCCCGCCTCCAAGGAGGAAGTACCGGAGTTCCCAGGATTCTCAGAAGGCCATGCCCACACAGAGGCCTCATTGGCTGTGATCTGGTTGACAAGCTAGATTCCACCCCTACACTCTTAATCCTCAAATTGACAAACGATATTATATCTACCACAGCCGTCCTCACATCGTTCCTGGGCTTCAGCTCATTGCTGCAGCCACTGTGACCACCCATTGCGTGAGGGCTTTCTTCTTTGTCGCTGCCCCTCCGCTTTACCAAGCAGGATGTCCTTCCCCGGGCCTGGTCCCTCCTGACGACCGTCCAGATTATGTGAGAAGATATAGTCTCCCCATCCGCCCTCTAAGGAGCACTCTGACTGAACTTCTTCCCAGACAGACCTGCCGGTTCTCCCGGGGTCCGTGGCATTTCCAATATTCTTCCCCCAACGCCGTCACTCAAAGGCACTGGCGTGGATAAACGTGCCGCTTTTGAGCAGGGGGTGAGTTTAAGGCACGTCTTTGAGTGGGGCGGTGGCGGTGGTTGGGATATCAAGACCTGGTGTCTGCTTGTTCGGGAGGGCCGGCTGGGTGCAGGCTGCCCAGGGGAAAGTGGCTTCAATCAGCTCCATTTCCTATGATGTTTCCTTAATGAGGGTTAATGGCATTAATTACTGTCCCCTTCACTTAAGGACATGCTCACGAGGAGCTAATTGACACCTAATGGCCCGGGATTGGAGAGACCCTAGCCGAACTCCAAGATGGCATGGATGGTGGAGTCTGTGCCCTCCCCCTCCCCCAGCCTGCCCTGCCCACCCACCTGGCCCCCAGCCCAGCTGTCTTCCTACCCGTGTCTGTTCAACATGGCTGTTTCAGGCCTGGCTGTGTGGCCCTCCCAGGACTCTGGGCTCTAAGCATGGACGGTGGACAGGTTCCGAGTCTGATGAGCTGTTCCGGGGATGGAGATGGTGGACGAGGTCCCTGTGAGGAGGCCTCCCTGGGGGCCCATCTGGAACATCTGTCCCAGTTAAAAAGGCTCAGGAAGTCCAACCTGGTACTTTGTCTCCTGGGCGTTTATCTTACAGTCACTGCCTTTGTTTCTAAGTTCGCCCATGGAGAAGAGCACATAGGTGCTCACTGCAGCCCTGGCAGGTCAGCGCGTGGGGGAGAGTGTGAACGCGTGTTGCAGGTGGGGGGATCACTGCGATGCAGCCACGCAGGGGGTGTATGTGGCTCACACCCACTCAGATGAACCTCAGAAGAAGGCCTGGCAATCACCTCCAGAAAAACCCGCCCTCAAATACCCTACGGGCACTGCCAACCTGCCAGGGCCGCTGTAGCCATAGCCGAGTTACCTGAGTAAGCAGAGAGGCAAGGGAGGGGATAGTATGCATTGTACGCTGGTGTGTATGTGAAGACAACAGAGGTACACACTCACCCCCCCACATACGCACTGACACACATGCACATACACACTCACACATACATGCTCACTCACATACACACTCAAGCCCATACACACACTCATATACATATACAC